AATAATAATATAATAATATAATAATATAATAATATAGTAATATAGTAATATATAATATAATATATGTATATAATATATAATGAAATATAAAATAATTATAGTAATATAAAATAAAATAATGTAATATAACATAAAATAAAATAATGTAATATAACATAAAATAATATAATGTAATATAACATAAAATAATATAATGTAATATAACATAAAATAATATAATGTAATATAACATAAAATAAAATAATGTAATGTAATATAAAATAATATAATGTAATGTAATATAATAAAATAATGTAATGTAATATAATATAAAATAATATAATGTAATATAATATAAAATAATATAATATAATTAATATTATATTATATTATAATAAAATAAATAATAAAATAATAAAATAAAATAAAATAATAATATAATAATATAATATAATATAATATAATAATAATAATAATAATAATAATAATATACTAGTAGTAGAGTAAGGAGGGAGAAAGAGTTGCTAGAGAAGGAAAGGAAGCAGGAAAGGGCTAAACTTGGGATAAGTAAAGGTAAAGTCAAGTCCGACTCTGACGGGTAGTGGTCATCTCCATTTCTAAGCCGAAGAGCCGGCATTGCCCATAGTTGTCTCCAAGATCATTTGGCCAGCATGACTGCATGGAGGACCGCTACCTTCCTGCAGAAATGGTACCTACTGATCTACTCACATTTGCATATTTTTGAACTTCTAGCTTAGCAGAAGCTGAGGCTGCTGAACTTGCTGAACAAAAGGTTGGCAGTTCAAATCCAGGGAGCAGAGTGAGCTCCTGCTGTTAGGCTCAGCTTCTACCAAAATAGCAGTTTGATAACATGCAAATGTGAGTAGATCAATAGGTACCACTTCTGTGAGAAGGTAACGGTGCTCCATGCAGTCATGCCAGTGGCCATATGATCTTGGAAGTGTCTATGGACAACACTGGCTCTTTGACTTAGAAATGGAAATGAGCACTAATACCCAGAGTTGGACACAACTAGGCTAACTGCAAAGAATCATAGAGCTGGAAGAGACCTTGTGGGCCATCCCCATTCTGCCAAGAAGCAGGAAAATCGCATTCAAAGCACCCTCGACAGATGGCCAATAGAAGACTCTGGCACAAGCCAGTCAAGGTGGTCCCAGTAGTGGTCGGCACACTGGGTGCAGTGCCCAAAGACCTTGGCCTGCACTTAAAAACAATCGGCGCTGACAAAATTACCATCTATCAGCTGCAAAAGGTCACCATACTCAGATCTGCATGCATTATTTGCCGATACAACACACAGTCCTAGGCACTTGGGAAGAGTCCGATGTGTGATCCAATACAAAAGCCAGCAGAGTGATCTTGTTTGCTGTGGACTCATCTTGTTATATATCAATAATAATAATGGCAAAGTTGGGAGGGGGAAAGGCTAGTTCAAGAAGAAAGCAAAACTTGGGATACTATTACAAATAATAATAGTAATAGTAATAATAACAATGGCAGAAAAAAGGCAAATCTTGGGATGCCATTATGAATAAAATTAATATTAATAATAGCAGCAATAATAATAATAATAATAATAATAATAATAATAATAATAATGGCAGAGATTGGGCAAAACTTGAGATACTATAAATAGTAATAATAATAATAATAATAATAATGGCAGAAAAAAGGCAAATCTTGGGATACCATTATAAATAAAATTAATATTAATAATAGCAATAATAATAATAATAATAATAATAATAATAATAATGGCAGAGAATGGGCAAAACTTTGGATACTATTATAAATATTAATAATAATAACAATAGTAATAATAGTGGCAGAGAAAAGGCAAAACTTGGGATAACATTATAAATAATATTAATATTAATAATAGCAATAATAATGGCAGATAATGGGTAAAACTTTTGATACTATTATAAATATTAATAATAATAATAATAACAATAGTAATAATAATAATAATAATAATAATAATGGCAGAAAAGGCAAAACTTGGGATACCATTGTAAATAAAATTAATAATTATAGCAATAATAATAATGGCAGAGAAAAGGCAAAACTTGGGATAACATTATAAATAATATTAATATTAATAATAGCAATAATAATAATAATGGCAGAGATTGGGCAAAACTTGAGATACTACTCCAAATAGTAATAATAATAATAATAATAATAATAATAATAATAATAATAATGGCAGAAAAAAGGCAAAACTTGAGATACTATTATAAATACTACTAATAATAGTAATAATAATAATGGCAGAGAAAAGGCAAAACTTGGGATAACATTATAAATAATATTAATATTAATAATAGCAATGATAATAATGGCAGAGATTGGGCAAAACATGAGATACTATTATAAATACTAATAATAGTAATAATAATGGCAGAGAAAAGGCAAAACTTGCGATAGCATTATAAATAAAATTAATAATAGCAATAATAATGGCAGGGAATTGGCAAAACTTGGGATACTATTATAAATACTAATAATAGTAATAGTAATAATAATGTATTGTCGAAGGCTTTCATGGCCGGAATCACTCAGTTCTTGTGGGTTTTTTCGGGCCATATGGCCATGTTCTAGAGGCATTTCTCCTGACGTTTCGCCTGCATCTATGGCAAGCTTCCTCAGAGGTGAGGTCTGCTGGAGCTTGCCATAGATGCAGGCGAAACGTCAGGAGAAATGCCTCTAGAACATGGCCATATGGCCCGAAAAAAACCACAAGAACTGAGTAATAATAATAATAATAATAATAATAATAATGGCAGAGAATGGGCAAAACTTGGGTTACTATTATAAATACTAATAATGGCAAAGTATGGAGTGAAAAGAGTTTTGAGAGAAAGAACGAAGCAGGAAAAGGTGAAACTTAGGATATTATTATCTATACACATAATAGAAGTGAAAATGTGTACGTGGTAGAAGTTTCCACTTACTCCCGCCTCTCCAAAGAGTTATAGTTCCCATTGAGCAGTGAACCCCGCCAATAATGGACCGGGACCAAACAGAGAAGCCCCATGACCATCTGAACATACCTCAGGGGTTTGTGAGAATGGACCTTGATTTTGGGAGTTGTAGTTCACCTGCATCCAGAAAGCAGTGAACCCAACCGAGGTCAGAGCTGGACTAAACTTTACACATAGACCCAACACAGCCAAATGTGCATACAAGCCTGGTTTGGGAGTGACTGACCTTGGATTTGGGAGTTGTAGTTCACCCTTATCCAGAGACCCCTGAATCTAGCCGACAACAGATCTGGACCCAACTTGGCACACAGACCCAACATGGCCAATTGCAAATACTGTCAGGGTTTGGAGGCGATCGTCCTGGGAATCAGGGAGTTGTAGTTCACCCTTATCCAGAGAGTCCTGGACTCAGCCAATGAGGGATCAGGACCAAACTTGGTACACAGACCCAACATGACCAACTGTACATACAGGTGTGGTTTGGGAGTGACTAACCTCGGATCTGGGAGTTGTAGTTCACCCTTATCCAGGGAGCCCTGAATCCAGGGGATGACGGATCTGGATTTGGCACACAGACCCAACATAGCCAACTGTGCATACAAGCCTGGTTGGGAAGTGATCGACCTCAGATTTGGGAGTTGTAGTTCACCCTTATCCAGAGAGTCCTGAATCCCGCCAAGGACAGATCTGGACCAAACTTGGCACACAGACCCAACATGGCCAACTGTGCATACAAGCCTGGTTTGGGAATGATTGACCTCTGATGTGGGAGCTGTAGTTCACCCTTATCCAGGACCAAACGATGACCAACTGAACATACTGTAGGGGTTCGTGGGAATGGACCTTGATTTTGGAAGTTGTAGTTCACCCGCAGCCAGAAAGCACTGAACCCAGCCGACGTCAGATCTGGACCAAACTTGGCACACAGACCCAACATGACCAACTGTGTATACAAGCCTAGTTGGGAGTGACTGACGTTGGATTTGGGAGTTGTAGTTCACCCTTCTCTAGATAGCCCTGAATCCAGCCAACAACAGATCTGGACCAAACTTGGCACACAGACCCAACATGGCCAACTGCAAATACTGCCAGGGTTTGGGGGTGACTACCCTGGGAATCCGGGAATTGTAGTTCACCCTTAGACAAAGAGCCCTGGACCCATCCAACGGTGGATCTAGACCAAACCAACATCCCAAAAGAAACAATGCCTTCTTCTAAAAACCCAGTAAGTAGTAAATAATAAATAATAATAAATAATAATAAATAATAAGTATAATAAGTATAATAAAAATTGTAAAATAAATGTTTTAAAATTATGATAACAATATAATAAAAATATAATAAATATAGAATAAATAATAAATACAGAATAAATAATAAAATAATAAATAACAATTATAATAGTTATAATAAATAATAAGTATAATAAATAATAATTATAATAAGCATAATAAAATTATAAAATAAATGTTTTAAAATTATGATTAAAATATAATACAAATATAATAAATATAGAATATGTAATATATAATATAGAATAAATAATAAATAGACTAATAAATAGACTAATAGACAAATAAATAGACGAATAAATAGACGAATAAATAGACGAATAAATAGACGAATAAATAGACGAATAAATAGGAGAATAAATAGGAGAATAAATAGGAGAATAAATAGGAGAATAAATAAATAGAATAAATAAACAGAATAAATAAACAGGAGAATAAATAAACAGGAGAATAAATAAATAGGAGAATAAATAGAAGATTAAATAGAATATTAAATAGAATAAATAAATAGAATAAATAAGTAAAATAAATAAGTAAAATAAATAAGTAAAATAAATAAGTAAAATAAATAAGTAGAATAATAAATAGAAGAAATAGAATAAATAGTAAATAAGAATGGCAAAGTTAGGAGGCGCCAGGCTTGCGAGAGGAGGAAAGAAGGGAGCCGGGAAGGGCCAAACTTGGGGGGGCTCCTGAGCCCCCCACCACCGCCAAGCCTTACCCGAAGTAGGCAAGGGACGGTCCCGGCCCCCCGCCGGCGACGGAGAAGCAGAGCCAGCGGAGCAGGAGCAGCACCAGGCGGTGTCCATCCAGCATTTTGCTGCCGCGGCGCTCGGGCTGACCATCTCGTTCCTTCCCCTGCGGACGCCCGATCTGCCGCCCCGACCGACGCTCCCTGCCCTTATAGCCCAGCTGGGACGAGGAGGGGGCGGGACCTACAGAGGGGGCGGGGCTTCGGGGAATAGGCTCCAGAGCGAGGAGGCGGGGCTACAGGGAATGGAATCCAGGGGGCGTGGCTTCGGGAGTGTAGTCCAATGCTAAGGGGCGGGGCGTCCCTTGTGAGTGGGCGGGGCCGAGCAGAGAGGCCACGCCCCTCCGGCATCTCTACTAGCTTTCCTAGCAGAGGAAAGAGGGAGGGAGTAAAAAGGTTTCCAATGGGGTTTATTATACAATCCTAGAGTTGGAAGAGACCTGGTGGGCTATCCAGTGAAACCCAATTTTTCCCAAAAATATCACATTCAAAGCACCCCCGACAGATGGCCATCCAGCCTCTGCTTCAAAGCCTCCAAATAAAGAGCCTCCACCACACTCCAGGGCAGAGAGTTCCACTGCTGAACAGCTCTTCTAGTCAGGAAGTTTTTCCTCATATTCAGGAGACCTGGTGGGCTATCCAGTCCAACCCCATTCTGCCAAAAAAATCACATCCAAAGAACCCCCGACAGATGGCCATCCAGCCTCCATCACACTCCAGGGCAGAGAGTTCCACTGCTGAACAGCTCTCCCAGGAAGCCTTTCCTAATGAGACCTGGTGGACTATCCTGTCCAATCCCCATTCTGTCAAGAAAATCTCATTCAAAGCACTCCTGACAGATGGCCACCCAGCCTCTGCTTAAAAGCCTCCAAATAAAGAGCCTCCACCACACTCCAGGGCAGAGAGTTCCACTGCTGAACAGCTCTCCCAGTCAGGAAGTTTTTGTTAATGAGACCTGGAGGGCTATCCTGTCCAACCCCATTCTTCCAAAAAAAAATCACATTCAAAACACCCCCGACAGATGGCCATCCAGCTTCTGTTTAAAAGCCTCCCAAGAAGGAGCCTCCACCACACTCCAGGGCAGAGAGTTCCACTGCTAAACAGCTCTCACAGTCAGGAAGTTATTCCTCATGTTCAGGAGACCTTGTGGGCTATCCAGTCATACCCCATTCAGAGCACCCCAATAGATGGCCATCCAGCCTCCACCACACTCCGGGGCAGAGAGTTCCACTGCTGAACAGCTCTCCCAGGAAGTTTGTCTTAATGCGACCTGGTGGACTATCCTGTCCAACCCCATTCTGCCAAAAAAAAATCACATTCAAAGCACCCCAATAGATAGCCATCCAGCCTCCACCACACTCCAGGGCAGAGAAGCAGGACAATCACATTCAAAGCACTGCCAGCAGATGACCATCCAGCCTCTGCTTAAAAGCCTCCAAAGAAGGAGTCTCCACCACACTCCAGGGCAGAGAGTTCCACTGCTGAACACTTCTCCTAGTCAGGAAGCTTTTCCTCATGTTCAGGTGGAATCTCCTTCCTTTCCTATAGTTTGAAGCCATTGTTCCATTGTGTCCTAGTCTCAGGGCAGCAGAAAACAAGCTTGCTCTCTCCTCCCTATGACTTCCTCTCACATACTTATACATGGCCCTCATCATGTCTCCTCTCAGCCTTCTCTTCTTCAGGGTAAACAGGCCCAGCTCTTTGAGCCATTCCTCATAGGGCTTCTTGTACAATCATAGAATCCTAGAGTAGGAAGAGACCAGGCCGGCCATCCACTCCAACCCCATTCTGCCAAGAAGCAGGACAATCACATTCAAAGCACCCCAACAGATGGCCATCCAGCCTCTGCTTAAAAGCTTCCAAAGAAGGAGCCCCTAAGAGGAAAGGAATTTACATTTGCAAGAGTCGTTGCTCTGTGAGGGCTTTGGATGTTTTGAATGTCCTTCAAACCTTCTATGCAGATGCATAAAATCCACATTGAACCAGATCATATGGCAGTGTGGACTCAGATAATCCAGTTCAAAGTTATTGTAGATTATCTGCCTTGATGTTCTGCATTATATGGATGTGTGGAAGGGGCCTGGGTTCAGATTCTGAAAATTTGAAACATGGAAATGTTACTTTGGAGGGAACTTTAGATACATGGTTCCTAGAAGTTTAGTAACCTACGGATGTGAGAGCTGGACCTTAGGGAAGGCTGAGCGAAGGAAGAGAGATGCTTTTGAACTGTGGTGTTGGAGGAAAGTGCTGAGAGTGCCTTGGACTGCGAGAAGATCCAACCAGTCCATCCTCCAGGAAATAAAGCCCGGCTGCTCACTGGAGGGAAGGAGACTAGAGACAAAGTTGAAGTCCTTTGGCCACATCATGAGGAGACAGCAAAGCCTAGAGAAGACAATTATGCTGGGGAAAGTGGAAGGCAAAAGGAAGAGGGGCCGACCAAGGGCAAGATGGATGGATGGCATCCTTGAAGTGACTGGACTGAGCTTGAAGGAGCTGGGAGTGGTGACGGCCGACAGGGAGCTCTGGCGTGGGCTGGTCCGTGAGGTCACGAAGAGTCGGAGACGACTGAACGAATGAACAAAAAACAACAAAGAAGTTTAGATCTATGGAGAGCTACTTTGTAGAAAGTTTGGACCCTTAAAAAGTAGCATTTAGATACTTTGGACCTTTAAGTTACATAGTTCATGACTTTGCCGGGAATTGGATACACCGAAGCCTTAAAACTTGGGGTTGAGATACACAGATAAACAGAATAATGCAAAAATAAACATCATCATCATCATGATACTGTTGTGGGACCAAAACAAGTGCCATTGTGCCATTGGAATAAGGTGCCAAAGCTGGTCAACTTGGTATGTATCCGCATATCTAAAGGAAGATTAATGCAGTTTGACGCCACTTGAACTGCTATGGGATCCTGGAAGTTGTAGTTTAGCCAGGTACAATCCCCCTTTGGCAGAGAAGGCTAAAGGCCTTGTGAAACTATAACTCCCCTGATTCTGTAGCATTAAACCATGTCAGTTCAAGTGAGATTGAATGGGATTCAATGTACAGATGGACACAATAATGCAGAGTTTCTCAACCTGGGGGTTGGGACCCCTGGGGGGTCAGAGGGGTCATCAAAGACCATCAGTATTTTCTGTTGGTCCTGGGGGTTCTTTGTGGGAAGTTTGGCCCAATTCTTTCGTTGGTGAGGTTCAGAATGCTCTTTGCTTGTAGGCAAACTATAAATCCCAAAAACTACAAATTACAAATGTCAAGTTCTATTTTCCCCAAACTCCACCAGTGTTCACATTTTGGGCATATGGAGTATTAGTACCAAGTTTGATCCAGGTCCATCATTGTTTGAGTCTGGATGTAAGTGAACTACAACTCCCAAACTCAAGGTCAATTCCCACCAGACCCTTCCATTATCTTCTGTTGGTCATGGGAGTTCTGTATGCCAAGAATGGTTCACTTCCATTGTTGAGTATTCCTGCCAAGTTTGGTCCAGATCCATCATTGCTTGAGTCCACAGTGCTCTTTGGATGTAGGTGAACTATAACTCAAAAAGACAAGGTCAATGCCCACCAAACCCTCCCAGTATCTTCTGTTGGTCATGGGAGTTCTGTGTGCCAAGAATGGTTCACTTCCATCATTGAGTATTCCTGCCAAGTTTGGTCCAGATCCATCATTGCTTGAGTCCACAATGCTCTCTGGATGTAGGTGAACTACAACTCCCAAATTCAAGGTCAATGACCACAAAACCCTCCCAGTATTTTCTGTTGATCGTGGGAGTTCTGTGTGCCAAGTTTGGTTCAATTACATCATTGGTGAAGTTCAGAGTGCTCTTTGATTGTAGGTGAACTATAAATTCCATCAACTACAACTCCCAAATGACAAAATCAATTCCCTCCCCACAACCCCACCAGTATTCAGATTTGGGTGTATCAGGTATTTGTGCCAAATTTGGTCCAATGAAGCAAAATACACCCAGATATTTACATGATGTAGAAGGGGCCTCATATAATCCAGGTCAAAACAGATAACCTGGATTTTATATGACAGTGTAGATAGAGCCTCGTGTAATCCAGGTCAAAACAGATAACCTGGATTTTATATGGCAGTGTAGATGGGGCCTCATATAATTCAGGTCAAAACAGATAACCTGGATTTTATATGGCAGTGTAGATGGGGCCTTATATAATCCTGTTCAAAGAAGATCATCTGGATTATCTGATTTGATAATCTGGATTGTAGGGTAGTGTCGAACCAGCCTGAATGATAGGGCAGTCTAGATGATGCCTGAACAACTCTCCTGGGCAATGAACTCTTTTCAATGCAAATGCCTTCATTGTTCTGCCCAAGGCATTGATTCCAAACCCACTATTTCTCTGAGCATTGAGTCTGCTGACCTGCTCTGTCTGGTTCACCTTCATGGAACTGGCCTTCCTTGGGCGTCCCTCCGGCTGGGACCAGTTTGCCTGTCCAGCGTGCCTCTCCCCACCAGACCCCCTGCCAACCAGCCAGTCCAGCTGTAGGGAACCAGTCTCAGCTCCCCTCCAACTGAGCCAAAGGCAAGCGTGAGGCTGGCCCACCTGGGCCAGAGAACAGATCTAGGGCATGCTCCAGCAACTCATTGTCCCTGCATTGCTTTGGAATCTCAGGAATCCGTAGCAGCAGATATGATTATATTTCTCCCCCTCCAGATCTGAATCTCACTCATTCAAGGGAAGCAGAAACTCTTCATCATACATACATCAAGCTGCTGGAATGTGTTCATCATGCAATCGGAGGGGTGCGCTCAGCAGGGGATAGGTAAAAACTGGCTGTTTGGGTGGCCTTTTCCCATTATTATTATTATTATTATTATTATTATTATTATTATTATTATTTATACTGACACAAAAGCACAGTATGTCACAGCAAACGAGATCTATATGCTGGATTTCGTATCACAAAATCACAAGTCGAACACCTCCCAAGCGTCTAGGACTGTGTGATGTATTTTCGAATGATGCGCGCAGATCCAAGTCAGGTGGCCTTTTGCAGTTGACAGATCGTGATATTGTTGATGTTTATTGTTTCCAAATGTTGGCTGAGATCTTTTGGCACAGCAGCCAGTGTGCCGATGACCACTGA